TAGCCACCAGGTCTACGATCAACACTCGTGGATTGGACTGATCGACACGGAAGAATGGTTGTACCGCGTTCGTGGAGTTTACCATGCTGTGTTTATGGGGGACTCGAGTCCACCGGCGAAAAAGTGCAAGTACAGAAATCCTTGGGGGAAAGTGAAGACGTCCAAGACACTTTAAAACGGCACTCAATCTAGGGGACGACCTCATTACGCAGCGTCTGAAGTTGATGACAGAAAAAAATTGATCGCACGTAGTGATTCAGGCTCGCAAGTCGCCAGACTGTTCTGGTCCTTTCATCTTTGATTACAAGGTCTTATAGTTGCTGTATCAATAACTTCTATTGTTTATAACATTGGATTGCATATTTGAGCTGATACTCGACAGTGTATATATATAGCTAGGTAAAATTGAGAGGTCATAAACGTCTATAAACCATAATATAGACGAGCTTCCAACTGAGCCACACAGGCTGACTCGGTAGCGTGGGTCAGGTGGTCAATAAATCTGGGCCTCACGGTGTGTTATGCGGGTTCTGGCCCAAAATCGTAATGGAAACAGACATGCACGAAATGTCGACTGCATGCTAAATATTACCAACAACAGCCAGACTTGGACTTCGACATGGCGACTCGTAGAGGAAATAATCAAGAATAATCAAAATAATCAAGAATAATCAAGAAAATCTCCCCCCAGCGGAATCAAGCAATGCAATATCTTCGTCAGAGCCGAGTAGGTACAGCCGTGTAATAAGATAATACATACCAACTTTCAACTGAGCCACACAGTCTAAGCACTATCAAGCAATTTTCAGATATAATCAGCAATTACAACCTTGTGCCGATAGATACTCGTGACATTTGTAGTCGCTATTCAGGTAAGATGAGCCTTAAGGTTGGATGACCGCTAGTTGCTAAAAAGTATACGGTTTAGGTGCCATGATCGATAAAATTCCAAAATAGATATTGGAGTTGCCCCGGGGTAGTGCAAACAGAGAAAAGAGCTGTTAGTGTTTCTTCCGTGA